GTGCTAATGGAGCTGTTTATGGATGTAATATGCAACTTAATCACATTACACATATATGTTTATTGAGATAGTGTGTTATTTCTTTGACAACTATTGAGATTAAATTATCCATTTATCGATACCATGGAACCAAGGAAACAATAGGCCAATTTTCCATTCATTAAACTGCTTCAATTTTAAACTCCATCAAATTTGAAATTAGTACATTAATATTGTAGTGAAAGAAAATTCAGTGAGACCCTAATATAATAAGCCATACAATACTAATTCATGAAAAATCAAAAGAGCAATTTCATTTGATTCCATCTAAGGTAGATGCTAGTATAATAAGCCATACAATAGTTGTAAAAACATACCAACCTAATCCACAATCAAAAGTTGCAACGCTACTCTTATTTAAAACTTAAAAAATAGCTAACACCAACAGATTGCAAAATACATGCCAAAAAAATGACACTGTTCAACATTACAAATGTCTTATATCCCACATCACTTGGCGTAACACGGATCTGAGCGCCAGATTCAAGGGTGAGATGGGATGTTCTAGGATCAAAGTGTTCTACCAACCATAAGCACAGGTTACGCTACAAAATGGTACACTCGATGTCTAAAAAGGACCCAAACCCAATCTCTTGTACGGCACCTTTTTGACTTCACTTAAATTGCAAACTGTTTCCTTGAATTTATTTGGAGAACACCGGGTATTAAACATCTACAAATAAATTACCAACACAAGCATATTAAATACAAAAAGGAAGGATAGAGCACATATAGGGACAGAATTTAAATAAATAGAACAAGGTTATATTGCCTTTTATGTTGCTAGTGATGAAACAGGCTCAAATATAAACCAGCCTCGTGTGTATGTGTGTGAGAGATTATTATTTTTCAAGTTTGCAATCTCTTATTGTATTTAATTTAAGTGTCCCACTTTTTATGTCCCTTTTGATATACACACACACACACATATATTTATATTTGTAGGTAACACACAAATCTGGATCCTCGCTAGTACAGGCTTTCTTACGTAGTTTAGGTGAAGGGCAAAGAAGGCCTCTGTGTACTTTACTATACAATTAAATCAAGGATGTAACACTATGAAATCTAATATGAAACGACAAAAAATTTCTAAATTAAATACGATATGTTGAATGAGTGTTGCATCCTTAAAGTAAATGTGTTCACGAATGTAATACCGATTTTGCATGGACATTGTGTCTTCAATTTAGGATATTGTTTTTCGGATTTAAATTGCACAAAATCTTTAATTTCACTAGATCATGAAATTGAGACTTTTGAGTTTAAAATAACCTTATTCAAAGTACTTTTAAAGTCAGTAAAATGTTTTAATGTCCGAACAAGAAAATTCATTTTAAGTTACAAGGATAACAAGTGAGTGATGATATTTAGTCCATTTTAAGTTACAAGGATAACAAGTTACAAGGGAATGAAAGGTCACCCCCCCCCCCCCCCCAACTGTTTCATTCACTCTACTATGTTAAAAACCCATCCCAGGTAAAACTTATTATTATAATAATTTTATAGATCCAAATAATCACCTTAATTAAGCCATTAGCTTAATACTAATCCTATATTAATTAGAAATAAAGGAAATATTTTTGTTTTAGGAAACATAAAAAGTATATTGTTTTAATTCATGCCCACCATATAATTTAAGGAAATGTTAAACACGTCATGCAACATCTCATGCATCAATATTAGGCCTTTCTCTAGTTTCATGCATCGAATCATCTATATCATCTTCAGGGCTTCTTACTCCAAATGCGTCATGCAACATCTCATGCACGCCATCATGTTCGTCTATGTCCTCATTCTCTACCGTTTGATTAGTAACACCATAAGATTCTCTCCCCATGAAGCACCCAATGTGTGTAAATTTTAAGATACCCGTCAACAATAATATCATCTAATGCATCTTGACGGCACTTCCACAAGCAATTGCAAAACGTAACACATGGGCACAATATCATCTTGACTATGCCTACATTGTCAAATGCAACATCCAAAAAGATTCTAACTCCTCTTAGGTGTTCTCTGCTCACTCTATTTATCAAGCACAAAAAAGTTTAACAATTAAATAAATGACCTAGCTAATTTCAATAGGACATCGTTAATTTTGTCAATGAAGCCAAAACTTGGTTTCATCATTATCCTGATAATCAAGCTAATAAATTGAATTGAAGAGAATGGTGAACACTTGGCTATTTAAAACTATTAAAAAAATGACCTAGCTACCAAAAAAAAAACTATAAAGGAAATGGGATATTAAGATGCCAAGAGACCAGCTCATCTGTAGTGTCATTAGCAAGCAAAACAATAAACAACTCTTTGAGCAAAAACTATACCATGTGTCATACTGATCGTAGAAATTTATAATAGATTGTATATAATTTTCGGTAAATAAAATGGATTATAGGACCTGAGTATCTAACCAACCACTACATGGAAGGCTTGTCTTTCCTCCCCTGGACCTAATTAATAGTAATTAAACCCGTGACATCAACTCTTTATGACTACAATAGTGAGTCAAGAACAAGAATAAACATGTGAACCTTAACAGCAAATCGCTATAAACAAATTAAATGGAAATTAGTTAAAGAGACCATGAGGGAATACTACTAAAAGGGGAAGTTTTCAGCAATTATTGCGAGTATGAGGCTTCCCGAGTGGAAAAACAACATTTGATGTTAGTAATTTTCTAGTTTTAGATTGACAACTGATTTTGAGGTCATAGTGAAAATTTATGATGTTAACCACCTTAACTCCTATTACTTTTGCAAAGCAAGCACTTATTGAAGAAAGGAACCACAAAGCAAGACTAAGTGCAACAAGGTGATGACTGAAAAGAAACGTTAAAAGACAGCCATAACGCCAGCTATGAAATAAAATTGTCCAATTCGCAATGCTAAAAACCAGTAAAGACAAGGATCAAAAGGCAAGTCAACTTATACCTTTTGCATTTTCCACTTTGCTACTAAGGTAATCGTTCTTGTGTACTGTGGATTTGTTTAGATCTGGTCTACGCCGCTTGAAGCCTCACCGAGATCATGTCCTGCCAAATGCTGTCTCAAATCAAAGATTTCAAATTAAAAAACCGGATTTGATATTTTAGAAAAACAATCATATACTCTCAATTTCAGAGTCGAAAAAAAAAAAAAAATGGGAATAATCAAGCACCTGTATTTTCTTCCATCACTTCCTAAAAACAATATCATTCAGTCTTTTTGGCAAAATTTTTAGTGAATTTCTGGTTAAAAAAAAAAGGATCAGTGAAAAGTCATATCGTTGCGCCAGGAATATGACATATTTAAGAAAATAAATAAAACAATTAGTGAACAGAACAGTCTAATTCATGGGTCAAATTCAAACTAGTGGAATGTTACTAGTCAAGGGAGGGTTCGTTAATCTAGATGTCTGAAAACCCAGGTTAATTGAAGAACACAGAAGGGTAGTATTAGCATGGTAACCACAGTTCATGTGCTTAAGTTTGAAATCAGACAATTAAGCCTCAAGTTCTTTGATAGAAAGTAACAATACGACAATGCAGTAGAATTCTTGTATATTCTGTTTAAACGCGTTATAGATCTAGTCTTCAAGTATTTAATACCTCCACCCCTCCACACTTGACTACCACCATAATTTCACACCCCGAACCAACCAATGGCAACACCAGTTTATAACAACTAAGGCCCTCAACCTTATACCATGAATAACCACACCACTTTTGCTTTGGCTAAGCACAAATTATAGCTTCTTAGTTCATGAATGATTCACAAATTTTTCGTATTGTGGGGGGAAAAAAACAGTATAATTAGAGATTCACAATAACCTACACATTTGAATACATGAGTAACTATGAAAAGGTAAGACGATAAATATTGAACTCAATTAACAACTAAAGAATAAATAGATTTAAACAAGCAGGGAAGCATTAAATCAGAAAACCAATTTCGTCACAACATCAACATGCTATCTATTTCCTCATGCAAACAAATAGTGTTTTTTTATCAACGATATATGCAGATAAAAGAATAAAAAGGGAAATTCAACTGCAAGCAAAATAAAAATACCATGTTAATCAAATCTGGCAAAGAATAAATGAAAAAATAATATGAAACAAATAAAGAAAAACGAAATGCAAGGTAGATTTTGCTAACTGGATTTCAGAGACCCAAGGAGCAGGTGCTGATCATCTTTGTTAAACAAGTTGACCCAACATGCTTAAGCTTTTAGGGTAATTGCCTCGCACATTGCACAACCAAAGCTACACCAGAGAGAGGCCACAGATGACAACTACTACATAGAAATTGCAATCTATGAAAATAACACGTATTGTTTGGTGCAACACCAAACCCATCTCCAAGACATTCACTGCTCCAGCCCAATTATGCCCATTTTCTTGAGGAAACTGACTTTCGTCATGGAAGTCCTAAAGGATTCATCACTCCGATTATACTATAAGTGAAGAGAAGAGAGGAATTCACTGGACAGAAACAGAAATCATAACGATTAAAATCATAAAAATAGGCGATTATAACAAGGTACCTTCGTCCTTGCTCACTCCCTGGTAGAACTGAATAACAGTGACTGGTTGTTGGCTTTCGTCACTCCCCTCTGATCGCTGCTCGTTGTTCATCGTCTTCTTCGTCGCACGAAAGTCGTCATATGGCTAGGGCGCTGTTTTACAGAGAGGCGGAGAGAGAGGGCTGCTGCACTGAACGAATGGTTATGATATTAGGGCTTGCAATTAGGTCATTGTATGAAAGGGTATTTTAGGCAACACATAAAATAGGAAGAAGGGTATTTTAGGCAACAGAAATATGAAACAGTATTTTTTCATGTGCCACCTCAGCTCTTGGGTCAAACTCGTTTTAGAGAAATATGGGACTTTGACTCAGCCTCTTAGTAAATATAGAGCCCTAACTCCATTTATATGTAATAATCCCTTAATTTTAAGTCTTTTGAACCTTCTGAGCACAATGGTGAAACCCAATTTTCGATTAGACGGTCAGATTCTTGTTTCTCAATTTTTGGCCGCATGTGAGGGCCTACCGGTGACATGGTTTAAGGAATATTGGAAGCGCCGTTCCTTTCTTGTGACTGGGGGGATTTGGGATTTCAAATGGGGAGGCGAAAATGGGTGTCTACAGTTGTTAGAAGACACTTCCCTTGGGTGGTTTTAGTGGTGGGAAACAAAAAAGGTATCATAAGTCACAATTTTTAACAAAATTTGCTCTCCATGAAACCAAATTATAAGCCAAATAATTAAGGTGACACTCTTAAGATAGTTTATGTTGAGACTTTCTCTTTGTGAGTGCTTTGAGTACTTTATGTTGTATTTCTTGCCAAGCAAATTTGGTTTAGAGCCAAGATATGTTTGCTAGGTTGTTGCTGAACCAGCGCACATGTCTTTTATGTAATGAAAATTTGTTTAGGCAGATTTTTTCTTTACTGTTTTAACACTTAAGTTTGAAAAATATTTATAATTTGTTCTACGCATTAATTTGTTCTACTCATTAATTTGTTTGTACATTTTTGCTCAACCATTTTGTTTGAGCCATTTTAGTCACACACACAGGAAGAATGAGAGGGGAAGAGAGATTTGATTTTCACTTAAAAACTTTAAAAAGACCTTTTAAATAAGAAATTAAAAAAAAAAAGTATATAAAAAAAAAAATTTATGTCGAAACTAAATGGAATCTAAATTGGTGTATCACAAAAGTATGTGATATACATTAAATATGAATAGTATAAGTAAAAAAAACTCCAAAAATAAAGTCTACAATACATACTACAGATTTAAATCTATGTACCATAAGAAATGGATTGTTTTATACCACTTTGTAGAAATCTTCTCCTAGTAATTTACCAAAAAAAAAATCTTCTCCTAGTATATCAATCCTAATTAATCAAATAAAAATCTTATAATTTTTTCATAAGATAGAAAAAAGTTGGGACAATTTTTCATTGGTGAATGTCGATCGGCATATATTGGAACTCACTTTCGTATCGCAAGCCTTCTGACACATCAATTCATTGAACTAAGGCGAAAAGGTATGTTGACTTTTCGTACGTACATTTTCACACTCTCCAAAGTTTCCCATTAAACAAATGACACTCGATCGATATTGGACACACAGGAATTTCAAGAACACCCTTAGTTTACTCAATTCCACTTTTTTCGGATAATGATAACTTCTATCGTTCATGAATCCCTAACTAAGACGGTAATATATATATATATATAAATATAGACAATGCTCCAATGAGAATTGTTGTTGCTTTGTGTCTTAATGATTTATTCTTGGGTAAATAATAAGAGGTACTAGGTTATTAATTATAAGATTTAATTTTGTTTCTAAATAGTACATATAAAATTTGGTAGAATTAGGGTTACTATATATATGAAGAGACGAATTTTCTTTGAATTGGTAAATACCCAAATTATTTTCAAAACAAAATACGATTTGTCCAATTGAAAAAAAGTTCTACTTAAACCGACAAAGTAGTTGAGTGGACAATTTAAATTTTAAATTAAGAAGAACTAATCTAACCTAACCTTAAGGAATTTACCGTACAGCTGGTTTCTTCATGTCTATCTCTAATATACCATGTATATATCTCTAACAAACCCTACTTATTCTCTATTTCTTGCATTTGCTTTCCCTGTTCTATTCTTGCCCTACACAGGAGCCCTTCACACATGAAGAACAAAGATGAAATGGCCAGCGACCAAGAAATCAATCGAAAGAGGAAGAACAACAACAACAACAACCAGGACTTCCATATCCCAATAAAAAAACTCTCAGCAGAGCCCGAAGAAGACGACAATGATTTGCAGCTCACCCTTTCCCTCTCTTTCCGTCCCTCTCGGCCTCGGCGACACTCTCCGGCGAAGCCAACGCCGTCACCGCCGCCAGAACCAACACCGTCACTAGCATCACTCTTATCCCAATCCACAACCCAAACACCACTCCAACTATCACAATCACATCCCATCTACATGTCACCGCTGCCTCCTCCACCTCCCACGACGGATCCATCACCGAATACGAAACCCCCGGCCACAACGACCACGCAAGCCGGTCCGTCGCGGGTCCGCCGGAACCCTACGCAGGCTCCACGCGAGGGGAAGAGTGACACGGTCCCCGCCCCGTTCCCGTGGGCCACCACTCACCGGGCCACGGTACATAGCGTCGATTATCTCGTGTCCAAAGAGATCTTTAGCATCGCCGGAGAGGTGCAGTGCAAGCGATGCGAGCGTAACTATGAGATGGAGTTCAATCTTAGAGACAGGTTTTATGAAGTGGGGACGTTTATAGTGAAGAATAAGTCCACCATGCATGACCGTGCCCCGACTGTGTGGATGTACCCGGTTCTTCCGACCTGCAAGTTCTGCAACCAAGAAAACAGCGCGAAACCGGTCATCTCGAACAAGAAGAAGACGATCAATTGGCTGTTTTTGCTTCTAGGTCAGATGCTTGGGTGTTGTACCCTAGAGCAGTTGAAGTACTTTTGCAAGCACACAAAGAATCATCGAACTGGTGCCAAGGACAGGGTTCTTTATCTCACTTATCTTAGCCTCTGCAAACAACTCGATCCCAATGGCCCTTTCGATCGCTGAAGATCATACAGCAAGCTTTCACTTCATTGAATACTTAATTAAGTACTGTTAGCTTTCATTATAATAGGTATTAATTAATCTGATTAATTAGCAGTATGAGATTGTATGATGATTTTTATTTTTATTTTGTATATATATGCACTTTATGGGATATTTTCTCCCTCCCTCCCTCTCTAATGTTAGTATTAGTTTAGGGTTTTTTATTTCATAAAAAGAAAGTTCATTTCTTTAAGTAAAATGATTTTTTTTTCCTTTTTCTTTTTACATTTTGGTGCCATTCTTTTATTTATTTATTTTTTGAAAGCCGGATTAGTGATGAATTTTTTTTTTTTTTTTCTTTTTTTGGTATATAAATATGGATTTAAAAAAGTAAAGTTTAAAAGGTTTCAAATTGAAGATTATTTATTAGCTTTTTCTTGGTATATAAAGGTAAAGTTTAAATGGTTCATTTAGGGGGAAAAAAAAGTTTAAATGGTTCCAAATTGAAATTATTATTTTTTTCATATGCATGTATTGTATTGATGTATTAATGATAAAAGGGAAAATTTAAAATACCAAAGTTTAAAATATCACTAGTTAAGTCTTACACATCCAATAGTATAGGGGTGAAAGAGCCATTAAACTAAAATAATTACTAAATAAAATTTTTATTCTTTTGGTTCAAAATACCCCCACCACCTTTAATTTTTCCATCCAACCATCACCACCACCAATACCCACCATCACCACCGCCCACCCATCATCACCACACCACCAATACCCACCCACCTCCATTCTAAACACATACATAGCACCCCACCCCATCAACAATATCTTTAATTCTCTCTTTCTAAAAAAAACTCATGCACCACTCCCACCCAACCTTACCTCCATCCCCACCGTCCATCACCACCATCACCGACCACTAATGATATAGGACAGAATTATGAACAATTCGACAAACAATTGGAAAAGTCCGTTTTCGACAAACCAATAGTGGAGTTCGATAAGTCCGTTTTCAACAAACCAATAGTGGTTGTTGGGTGGAAATGACGCATTGAGAAAAACCGACTAGCTTTAACTTGTGTGCCATACTGATTTTTAACTGAAAACCTTCGTTTAGGGTTCCGAAATTGCATTTTATTATCTTGTGGGAGACCTGCTAATTATTTCGGGAAACAAAGTCTAATTGCTCTTAAATTTTAGATTTAGTATTTTTTATTTATTAGGTTTCTTATTCTATTTTTTTCAGAATTTTTAGAGAAACTTTGTTTTTAAGCTTATTTTTAGTGTTATTTTCCTTTTGGTATTAGGTTTCTTTTATATTTTTAGTTTCCTTTTAGTGTTAGGGTTTCTTTTATTATAAATACATATACTGCCAAGTGCAGAATTAAATTGTATTCATTCAATTATCAATAATATATCAGATTTCTATGAATTATCTCTTTGTTTTATAGATTCAAAGTAAACTATTCCTTGTGAACAAATTTATTGCTTCCGTTTATGTCAGTTAGTATCAAAGACTTGTCTTTTCCTGGGCTAATGACAATTGATTGTTTTCGTGGCAAACTCGCTGGCGATGAAGATCGACAGAGAATGGTTTTTTCTAAAGCCGAATATCAAGAATGTCAACGTGAAACCAAGTACACACTGCAAGATATTCAAGCATTGTTTGCTAGGCTTAGGTTGGGTCTGGAGCAAAATAGCGATAACAACAGGATTCGCAACGACGACGCAGTTCGTGTTCGTCCTGTTCGTATTCGCAACCCTTCCCTCTGCATAGTCAGTTAGTCTATAAGGAAAAAGTGTTTGGGGGTCATAGAGATGCACAAAGATATTATGATTATGGAGATTATGATTTTAGAAATTTTTGTCCTAGTAGTTTTGATGGTCTCTTTCATGTTAAAGATATTCTAGATTAGTTAAAAAAATTTGAGGAGTTTTTTTATTACATGGAGATTCCAGAGGTTAGGAAGGTGGCACTCGTCGCATACAAATTGAAGGGAAAAACTTCTATTTGGTGGGATCAATAACGGGTTACTCGTATACGACAAAGAAAAGCACCGATATGATCTTGGTTAAAGATGAAACGTCTTTTAAAAGCTGAGTTTCTTCTACTAAATTATGAGGAGTATGAGGAGATCCAATTTCAGCATTACACGAATTATCGACCAAGTTGTACGAAGGTTTAGCCCTATACTGATTTATCATTGTTTTCAAATCCTCGACCTCCTCCTACAATGGTCAAGTTTACACAAGAAAAAAATTGTGTCCAAAACTCAGAATGGAGATAAATTGCTTTGAAGAAAAAAAAATTATTAATATTAATGAAGTTGCTGATTTTGAACAATCTAAACAAGGAAAAGCTAAAGATGATTGTGTTAATCTTGTAAAACAAGTTGCGACTACTACTAATACTGTTGGGGTAATAATTGTTGAAGGAAGTATATTAATAGTTACTGATATAAACGTAATAGATTTGCAAATTGAAATTGATGTGGCGGTTAATCATGCCATGGTAGAGTTGAAGAGCAGTCCAGTGGTGGTAAGCTTATAGGAAGAAGTTACACAAATGGATACTATTTCTACCAATGGTGGGTATAAGATTGGAGTACAGGAAGATGACATTGAAAAGTATGTAGGCCGGGATTGGAAAACGTGACAAGACATGACATGCCTAAGTGCCCCACTGGTTCACTTATATTTGGATATCAATATTTATGCAAAGAGTTTCATTACATCTATTTAGCAATACCATGAGATGTGTAATACAAGTCAGTGTAGCCTTTACGGTCAACTTTGGACAATTCAATCTTGAAACAATTAGCCAACAATAAGAACCGGTCATGTGATGACTGTGTCATCTTTCTCATTTTTCTAACATTTTTATTTTATTTTATTTTTTACTATTAATACATGATTTAATCTCATAGAAAAATATGTTCGTTTAATTTTATTTTCTGGGGGTATGAATGCATAGTTTCTTCAGAAACATTTCATTTTTCAGGGTGCTTTGTGTAATTAAGTTTTTAAGATATTTTGTCTTAGGGACCTTTTTGCAATTATTTTTGTGAGATATTTAGAAGAGGGACCAATTTGTAATTTTTGAAAAGTGTGACAAGTGTCATACTTTCCTTGGACCACATGTTGACTTTTGGGTGGAACACTTGGAATCCTAGAATGATGACAAGTGTAAGGCTTAGATTTAGCTTTGTGAGGAGGCCTAGGATGGTGACAAGTAGAGGATGCATGTGTGTGTGTGTGTGTGTGTGTGTGTGTGTGAGGTAATGTTAGTATAATATATTGATGGGCATTGAATATTACATATTCGAGCCCCTAAAATATGTTAAGGCCTAAAGTGATACTTCTATCCAATTTTAGACTGATTTATGTTTATTTCATGTTTTTAGGTACTTTCCCAAAGAAATGGTTAAAATCGAGATTTTGTGATGAAAAGACTGACATTGAACCTTACAGAGTCGTTACCGGTCATTTGAAGCAAGTTCATAATCAAAATGGTGATTTTGGAGAAGTCCAAGTGCCAAGGCTTGAGCCATAACTCAAGGTGCTCGAGCTAGAATTACGTCGGAATATGAAAAGACACTTTGGAAATTCCATGTTGCCAAATCTCGAGTCAAAGTCAAAAGGCTCGAGCCATAACCCCAAGGCTTAAGCCTTAAGTTGTAGTGATCGAGCACCATGAAGATTCATATATCCCAAAAATATTCTAAGTGTTGATGAAAAAGATGATTCGAAAAAGATTTGATGAAATTTAATTAAGTATTGAAAAAGGTGCTCAAGCCTTTCCCAAAAGGCTCGAGCCTAGGCCAAAAGACTCAAGCCATAACTTCTAGGCTCGAGCCTCTATTAAAAAGTTTTATCCAATTTTAGACTGATTTATGTTTATTTCGTGTTTTTAGGTATTGATGAGCAGTGAAAAGTGCGCATTTAAACCCCTTAAGCTCAGCTATTTAGGACCTTTATCTATCTTACTTTCCCATTTTAGACTAATTTCGTGTTATTGCCCTTTTTAGGTGCTTATCCAAAAAATAAGTTAATTCGGCCAAATAAGAGCTTAAAAGAAGCTAACTCAAGTTGGATGGAAGAAAGGAGCAAAGTGGAAGCAGATTGAAGCAAAGTGTGGAAATTCAGCATGTTCGATCGATCTCATCATTTATTCGATCGATCGAAAGTTCATCGATCTAGATATTTCAAGATAGATCCAAACCTTTGTCCTTATCCAAAAGAATCCAGCAAGTTCGATCGATCCAATATTTTCCAGATCGATCGAAATGATTTGATCTTATCCACACCTACCACCCACTTACCACTTTTGTCTTTTTTCCCAAAAATATCCCAAAATATCTTAGAGATTTGTCTTTATTCAAAAAGGCGCCACCAAGGATGATCAATCTCTGCAACATTCGATGGATCTCAGCCAAGTTCGATCGATCAATCTCACCACAGTTCGATCGATCAAACCTCCTCAAATCCGAAAAAAAAATAGATTCTAGCTCATTAAAAGTTGGCTCATGGTGCAATCATTGGAGGGACCTTGGTGTACGAGCCCAGACCATTGGGTGTGACACTTGACCTACTTATATAAGGATTTTGAGCGAATTTTTACATCATAACTTGTAACATTCAACATAACTTGTAATTTTCTTATCTTGGAGAGAAGGCTAGAGATTAGGGAGCTTTACACATTTTTGGGGAGTTCTTCCATTCTTCTAGGGTTTCCATCAATAAGGAGGTCATTCCTACCATGGAGATAGCCCTTGAGGGTTGGATGACTACTTCAATGAGTGGCTAGACATCTACTTGGGGCTAGAGTAGCTCCAAAGTTTGCTTCCTAGACTTAGTTCTTTGTATATTTTTGGGGATTTATTTGTAACAATATTTTGATCTTGGATTTATATATATATCTTGTGGTTTCTACTTGATGTGTATGGATTAATGCTTTCAATTGATTATCTACTTCTAACCATATGCCTATGTATGCTAGAATGGATGATTCATGT